GGGGGGGGGGGGGGGGGGGGGAATATCCTGTTTGGCCAGCCAGAACAAGCTCCAGAAGAGAAAAGCAAGCAAGCAGGCATCTGGCAGATTTTAGTCATTCCAGCTTTTTAGTCTTAACCACAGTTTTCACCTTTTCAATAGTACCTCAGAAACTGGAGCCTCTCTGCCATGATTCTGCTTCTATAAATTTCCTTTGTAAAATGACTCAAAGCTGATCAGAATTGCTTAACAGAAAGGTTAATGCCTTCTCATTGGAAATTTAAAGATATTCTGAAGCGCTGAAATTCTAGGAAAACTTGGAATGGGATGTATACCTAGAAAGGTTTTGGATTCTGAAAGAACAATAAAGGATGATTAGTTGAATCAGTGATTCTTTTTAAGCTATTCAAATATCATGAACAAGATACTAAATTGTACCTAGGGATTTGTATTTCTTTAAATCTTGTTCTAAATCATATCTGTTTAATAAATGACTAGTTGATATTTGTGCATGTTATTTAATAAAGAGTTATATTTTTATAGAAAAAAAGAGTGAAATGTGTGCTAAGTGTTTTTTACTTAATTTTCCATTCCCATATGACTATAAGCCAAACACCAGTAATAACTTAGGGAGCTAGCAAAATTGCAGAAATACTCATCCTGGGAAAACAAACAGCCTCTGAAGAATTAGCCTTTGAAGTTCAAATCTATTCAGTAAAGAGAGGTCTCACAAATTAATTTTTCATTTTTCCCCCACTTTAGGATTTTTAAGACATGCTGCAAACTTGATAACTGCAAAAATCTCAAGCAAAGATCCCATAAAGCTCATTTTAATAGGTCTTACGAATTATACAGTTATTCTAGAAATTGAGGGCAGAGCTAAATATGCAGTTTTCTTTTCCAAAAAGTTAGCAATATTTCTTACTCTAATCTCTGATATTCTGAAATATAAAAGCCCACATATTTATATAGAGGAAATTGACTGTTAAAATTTATAAGAATATAGTCTTTTTTATGTGTACATTTTCACCATTTTTTAAAAAATCATTTTCAAGCATTTAAGGGAAAAGATTGTTAGAAGAGGTACTAATCTTTGGAAAAGCTCGTGTGAAGTTTAGTGGTTAAAATATCTTGTAATTCATCATTTTCTTAGTGGCCTCTTGAGAGTCTTCTTTGTATCTAAAATGGATGGGTTTTTTTAACATTTCACAGAAGTCATCACTCAAAATATATGAAGAAACTGAGGCAAATAAAGTTTAAACTGTTCCATTCATTAAAATGGCTAAAAGAATCTAGAATTATAAGTATTAGCATAGGGGCCGGCCCGGTGGCGCACTGCTACAGTGTGCCACTTGGGAGCGCAGCAGCGCTCCCTATTAGCATAAAAACAGCAAAAAGTACAACTAGAAAGATTGGCTGGGTTTTTCCAGTGATTAAGTGCTATATAAAGCTGCAGATAATTTAATTTTTTTGTACATGTGTTGTATTTCCATAAGAAAATAGCATAAAGATTTTTACCTAAAGATAAACACAGTTTACTTGCATGGGGATTCAGTTTTATTACATGGATTAATTACTCAGAGAACCTGAGAAATATATGAAGCATGTTTGTTTAATTCTGATGATGAGCTTTTAAAAGCATTTTTAGAAAACTGGATGCCATATCCAGATATCTGACCAGTCAGTACTAAATAATCAAAAGCTCTTAGGTAGCCATCTTTTTTTCTCACTTAAAAAAAAAAGTTGCTGTTAATATGCATGACATATAGCATATGTTTACAACTTTAGAAAGCACCACTTATGTACCCATCACTCAGCTTAAGAAGACATATATTAGTATCTTCTCATTTTTTTAAATTATTATAATTTATATCCAGTAGAAATATCCAGATCTTAAGTAGGAAGTTTGATAAATTCTGACAAATAGAAACACTTGGCTTACCACCACCCAAATGTTGCAAAACATTTCCGTCCACTCGGTTCCCTCATGCGTCTCCAGGTAATAGTCCCGCAGAGGCAAGCCCCGTGCTCATTGCCATCACCATATGTGAGTTGTACCTCATCTTGAGCTTCATAGAATGGATGCATACGGTATATACTCTTGTGTCTGCCACCTTTCAACATAAGGACTTGAAGTTCATCCGTGTTGCATATATCAGTAATGAGTAGTAATTTATCAGTGAGTTGTAGTATACTGTATAAATTTGTTCATTCTCTTGTTGGTAGTAGTTGGATTATTTCCAGTTTAGGACTGCTGTGAATAAACCCACTATGAACACGCAAGTCTTTTTTATGGACAGATTTTTTTCATTTCTTTTTGGTACATACTATGGAGTAAAACTACTAGGTCACAGAGTAGACTAGGGTGCATGTTTAACTCTATTAAAAACTGACAGTTCTCGAAAGGTATCAGGAATCTACGAGAGGCCCAGTGGCTCTGAATCTTCATCAGTATTTGGTGTGTCAGTCTTCAATTTCAGCCATTCTAGTGGACGTGTAGTAGTATCTTGTGGTTTTAATTTGCATTTCTTTGATGACCAGTGAGGTTGAACATATCTTTTTATATGCTTATTCATCATTTGCTCATCTTATTTTGTGAATTGTCCGTCCTCAAGTATTTTGCTCATTTATTATTGGGTTGTCTTTTTTAATTGTAAGAGGTTGTTTTTTTTTTTTTTTTTTTTACGTATTCTGCATAAAAGTTCTTTGTCAGAATTGTCATGGATGTTTTTATCCAGTATGTGCCTTCCTTTTCCATTTTTCTTAATGAATAGTTTCCTCACTTTTTAATAACACTTTTACACTGACATGATTTTCTCAGAGTGTTTTTTAGATATCTTAACAGGGTGCCTCTTCCCCCCTCAAAAAAATTTTTTTTCTAGCTGCCGTGAGGTCACATGGATAAACAACCATACCTTTACATCTAGGAGCACGACCTCTATTCATTTT